TACCAATTGCTCTGGATTGGTCCAATGTGGAAATCATTGTTCTGGGTTCTCGTATCTCTAATGATAATGAAGAACAATGGGTGTCAAAGATCAAGGCCTTGAAGACTACTTTGTCAGCTTGGAACCGGAGAGCGCTTTCCTTTCGTGGACGCGCTCTCATTGCCAATATGCTGGGGCTAAGTACTCTCTGGTATCTGTGTTCGGTTTCTGTAATACCTGAAGCAATCATTAAAGCTGTCAATGGGGAGGTTTTTCCGTTTGTATGGTGGAAGAAACGAGAATGGCTGGCTCGCTCCTCAGTCACACAACGACCTAATCATGGAGGTTTAGGTGTGGTGGACGTCCATCGTGAGATGTTGTCTCTGCATGTTTTATGTTTTATTTTTCGTCACAACTTGCCGTGGACTAGTTTCTTTTCTCAGTATCTCAAGCGTGCATTCCCTGGTCGCTCTGTTCACCAAATTTTGATTTTGGCGGTACCACCGAAATATGCTATGGACGCTCTCCCTCCGTTTTATCGATCTGTGATGACGGCTTGGTTTGCTCTGGTACGGAAGTTTGTGGACAATAAATACGTCATTTGCGTTCCTCGGAAATCTGTGGTCACGCTTGAACAGCTCTCGGCAAGTTTCGTCTATGACACCCTGTCGCACCAACATCGTAAGCAACATCGATGCGTCGAAAAGTATGCGAATTGGGGTCTTCCAGTCGATTGGTCAAATGTTTGGTTCCTGGCTGATTGCGCATTGCAAATTCCTGGCTGATTGCGCATGGTATTCTTCCCACTGCCGATCGTTTGCTGCGCTTTGGAATGCACGTTGACCCGTTGTGTCACTGTGGCCGAACGGAATCCCTCATCCACCTTTTTACTGACTGTCCATTTGCTATTCAACTTATTGATTGGTATTTTTCTGTCTATAAACGTTTCCGACCACAGTCCCAACGTCCTTCTAAATGTGATCTTCTTGTTGGTTATGGCAAGAATGTAAAGGTACATCCCGTATTTCCATGTTTGTTGGGAATTATTCTCCACCACATTTGGTTAACCAGGAATAAAGCCAGGTTTGATAAGGTGATACCGCATTACCCTACGGTCCTATTGCGTGTCAAGTCTGCCTTACGGTGTGCGATCCGTGTTCAGCAGCGTCATTGTTTGCCGGCCAATTTCTCCGATTTCTGGTTGGCGAGTGGTGGTGTCGGCAGTTTGTCCGCTGGGGACATTATTGTTTTTGCGGCGGAGTTTCGCGATTAATGTGTCTAAATGTTTCTGGGAGGCGCGGTGGTCGCCTTCATTGGTTGCTACTGCCGTTGTCTTTTGAGATGTGTTGGTATCTATCTCTCTGGGCAGGGGGATCGCCTTCATTGGTGTTGTCTTCGTTGTCCTTTGAGTTGTGTTAGTACTCTTGTCCGTCAATGTTTTCAAACTTCGGCCTTTTCGGCTGTTGTTTATGATGTTTTAATTGTGTTATTTTGTTGATATGTCATGTGGCTTGTAATGTCGTTTTCTTTTGTTTTGTTTGTGTTTTAATAGGCGCAGTGGTCTCCTTTATTGGTGTACTGCTGTGGCCTCCTTTTTGAATTAATGTTGGCCTCAACCTCGTTCCCAGGCTCTTTGCTCTTGGGAAGCAAAGACCCTGGTCGGAGCTATTATTTGAAAACAAATAAAAAATATTATTTGAAAACAAATCAATGTAAAAACAAAATGAAACGATATTAAAAACAAATGAAAACAAAATGAAAATTACCTATGGCCTATCGCTGCCATAAGAATTGTTTTCGGAAAAGTAAATTGAATTTAAAAACACCACTGGCCTATCGCTGCCATAAGATTTTTTTTCGTAAAAGTAAATTGAATTTAAAAACACCACTGGCCTATCGCTGCCATAGACCAATATGCATTGCGGTCGGAAAAGAGGATGTATTGCTTCAGCAGAGTGGAAGCACTATTAAACTCACATGTTTTCAAAATGGCAGAATTGTCGAAACGAGACGAAATGAAGCAAAAAAGAGCAAGAAAAATGTTTGAAAGAGGGAAAAATTGAAGAAATTGTTTTACAATGCCAAAGCTCAGATGTCTCGGGCAAGGCACAAAAGTACAGCAGAGTTGAGCCGCGAGAATTCGTGCAGTTTGGTGAAAAGGATATGAGCATGGAGAACAAAATATATAACAGGAAAGGCTGCTTGTCTGAAGCATTTTGCTTCCAAAATTGGTCCAAACACGATTTGTGATATTAGACGGTTTTAGATAACAAGACGCGGACGTCAAGAGGACGTGGATGTCGTCATTTGGCGCCAACTATCGTCAGCTTCTGGTTTGCGACGTCGTCTTGGACGATTTCACGACGCGAAAATACAATTTTCACG